GATAACTTAGGAAAATTTGATGCTAAATCCGATGAAGGAATCTTTCTTGGTTATTCTTCGGTTTCTAAAGCCTTTCGTATCTTCAATAAAAGAACTTTAATTATCGAAGAATCCATTCATGTTGTTTTCAATGAGATTTTCGAAATCAGGAAAAATGATTTTGATGATGATGTTAATTTTGATTCCTTGAATTTAAATGAAACCCCTTCTCCAACTAGCAACTTGGATGCATCCACTTCCGAAACATCCTTACCCAAGGATTGGAAGTATGCAGATGCTCATCCTAAGGAACTAATCTTAGGAGACATATCAAAGGGGGTTCAAACACGTTCTTCTCTTAAAAAATTTTATTCCAACGTCACTTTTCTCTCCCAAATTGAACCCAAATGTGTTGACGAAGCCATGAAAGATGATTCATGGATTATCGCAATGCAAGATGAATTAAATCAATTTGAGAGAAATGAGGTGTGGAAGCTTGTTCCTAGGCCAAATGACCATTTAGTTATTGGTACTAAATGAGTTTTTAGAAACAAGCAAGATGAATATGGTATCGTGGTTAGAAACAATGCTAGATTAGTGGCCAAAGGTTTCAACCAAGAAGAAGGTATCGATTATGAAGAAACCTTCGCTCCTGTGGCTCGATTAGAAGCCATAAGGATGCTCCTTGCCTACGCTAGTTGTAATAATTTTAAGTTATTTCAAATGGATGTTAAAAGCGCTTTTTTTAATGGCTTTATTTCCGAAGAAGTCTATGTTGAACAACCTCCTGGATTTGAAAATAATAGCCTCCCTAATCATGTGTTTAGATTAACTAAAGCTCTCTACGGTTTAAAACAAGCTCCGAGGGCTTGGTAGACTTAGTTCTTTTCTTATCGAAAATAATTTCACAAAAGGCAAGGTTGATACTACATTGTTCATCAAGAATTTTGAAAATGATTTTCTCATTGTTCAAATTTATGTTGATGATATTATCTTTGGTTCTACGAATGAATCTCTTTGTGAATCTTTTGCTAAAACTATGAGTCTTGAATTCGAAATGAGCTTAATGGGAGAATTAACATTCTTCTTAGGCTTACAAATCAAACAACTAAGCAATGACATCTTTATTAGTCAAACTAAATATGCTATGAATTTGCTAAAAAAGTTTAATATGAATAACTCAAAAGCTATTAACACTCCTATGAGCACCTCCACTAAGTTAGAAATCGATGAAAGTGGAGAAAGCTTCGATCAAAAAACTTATAGGGGCATGATAGGAAGTTTACTTTACCTCACTACAACTAGACCAGATATCATGTTCAGTGTAGGACTTTGTGCTAGATTTCAATCAAACCCTAAGATATCTCATCTCAAAGTAGTTAAAAGAATATTTAGATATCTTAATGGTACCACAAATCTAGGATTATGGTACCCAAAATCAAAGAATCTTGAGTTAATTGCTTATGCTGATGCGGACTTTGCTGGCTGTAAACTAGATAGAAAAAGCACATCAGGAACATGTCAATTTTTAGGACATGCCCTTGTTTCCTGGTCATCTAAGAAATAGAATTTGGTTGCACTATCAACAACCGAAGCTGAATATATTACAGCAAGTGCGTGCTGTGCACAAGTTGTATGGATGAAAAACACCTTAGAAGATTATAAAATTCATCTTAAAAATATTCTCATTAAATGTGATAACACAAGTGCAATATGCTTAACGAAGAATCCTATACAACACTCAAGAACAAAACATATTGATATTAGACATCACTTTATACGAGATCATGTTACTAATCATGATGTAATCATAGAGTTCATTGATACTAAACATCAACTAGCTGATATTTTTACAAAACCTCTGAGTGAAGAACAATTTGATTTGATAATAAGAGAATTAGGAATGTTGATGTCTCCGAATACATAAACTAGTTAAAATTATCTTTCGGACTCTATTGAATGATCAAAATCACTTGATTGTCATTACATGCCTAAATAACATGTTGGAAAGTATGTGCTGAATACAAAAATTTCCATAACAATAAGCATGTTTCGTCTTCATAATTGTTTTTGAAAATCAATAACATAGTCTTGTCCGAATGAATGAAAGTGTTAATTTCATTTTTGGATTCGCTTAACAATTGGATTTTCTCATACACTTATGAAAAATATTTTTCTGAAATATATTTGATGAAATGATTCCTGCTTATGAATTCCATTTTGAAATATGAATGATAGTGTTTTTACTTACAAGGATTTGTTTCACATACATATCTTGATCCTTGTAAAAATAAAGCTTGATTGAATCTCTCATTGGTTTTAACTTCACTCAAAATAAACTCACAAATAGCTGGTATCACAAATAGCTGGTATTCAAGGCAATCTATATATCATGCCTTCCCTTATATGCTTTGAAAATGAATGTAAAAGGCATGAACAACTATCACGCTCAAAATTCGCTTATTGTTCTCCTGCTATCACAATTACTATGCTTTTTGTTGATGACAAAGGAGGAGAAATATATGAGTATTAATACCAAATATATGAGTATTAATGCCATGCTGCTTACATCACCAAGAAATATATAATGCCATGCTTGCATCACCAAGAGATATATGAATTGATGCTATGATTACTATAATTTGCATTATGCCTTGGTTGTATCATGTAATGATATCAAAATCTTACTTCATAGTTTTACATTTTGATATCTTACAATCTGATGAATTGCTACTATTACCATCGTTCAAACCTGTTATGTAAAATTTGAAAATGTATGTCAAGCCTTGACATCATCTTCAGAGAGAAACATCATGATGGGAATCATGATGGGAGTATTGATAAATTTAAATGATTTTAACTTATCAATATATCTCTTGAATTCAAAGGTTTTGAATTCAAGAATGACTTATCTCAAGTATGGCATATAGACAGGGGGAGTTAAGGTTAACTCCATTATCAATTGATTGTCATCATCAAAAAGGGGGAGATTGTTGAATCTCGGATTTTGATGATGAAGTCAATTGTCATTTGTTATCTAATCCATATGTTGAGATAAGTGTGCAGGATTAACTATAATGAAAGTAAGATATGCAGCAGGAGTTGCGTCGGAGTCAAGACAATAATCACGTTGGGAGTTCGAGAGTTCGACGGAAGTTCAGACAGTCATCGGAGGTTCTGCGGGAACGAATCCGAGAAGTCCATGAGCCTACCAAAAGAAGCTCGTCGGAACTCGCCAAGTGGATCGTCACAAGTCCAGGAGTTTGCCGGAAGTCCGCAGGAGCATCACCGAAGGTTCATCGGATGATCGACGGAAGTTCGCCGGAAGCTCGCCGGAAGAAGCGATTGACGCACCGGAGCAAGTTGCAGTAAATATCTTAGTAAAAATCGTAGTTAGCACAAGGATTAAGTTGGAAATGGGAGGTGATCCCATTAACTTAATCTTGGGGCAATTGGGCCCTTGAAAAACCCAAATTGGGCCGAATGGATCAACCCATTCGGACCCTGATTTCTGTTGGGCGGTGCAACCGCCCAAGCCAGGAGGTGGCACCGCCTGAGCTAAGTCTCCGAGCGAGACTGGGCGGTGCAACCGCCCCAGCTAGGAGGTGGCACCGCCTGGGCTCGGTCTCCGAGCGAGACTAGGCGGTGCAACCGCCCCTGATAGAGGTTGCACCGCTTGGGCTCAGTCTCCGAGCTCTGGCTGAGCAGTGCAACCGCCTCAGTCAGGAGGTAGCACCGCCTGAGCTCAATCTTCGAGCTCTGCCAGGCGGTGCAACCGCCCTAGTTAGGAGGTGCAACCGCCTGATCCCGGAATTCCGGGAATTGACAGTTTTGAGCTCCAAATTCAAATTGGGTTGGGGCCTAGAAATACCCCACCCATTCAGCACTGAAAGAGCACAGACAAACACCGAAATTCTAATCTTGTTCTGTGATTTTGAGAGTTCAAAATTGTTGTAAAGGCCAAAAGTTCTTCTCCCTCTTTTCTTCCAAGTTCTGAGCTTTAAGAGAGGAGAGAAAATTTCTGTAAGGGTTGTCTCTTAAGCCCGTCAAAAGGAGTGAAACTGTAAAAGGGTGGTTGGCCTTCGCCTATTGAAGGAAGGCCTCTAGTTGACGTCGGTGACCTCGTCGGTGGAGGAAGCCAAAAGTGGAGTAGGTCAAGATTGACCGAACCACTCTAAATCTCGGTTTGCATTTACTTTGAGCATCTTATCTTTACTGCAAACCTCCTCAATAGCTTACTGCCTTCTGTGCTTTTACGAACGTGTTTCAAAGTTCAGTGCTTTCCAAATCAGCGTTTAGACGTAAATCGCTTTTGTCGTACGAACGTCATATTTCAGTTTGCGCTTAAGTTCTGACTTCCATCATAAACTGCAAACTGCCTTTGTATCTTTGCCTTAACTGTATCTCGCTTCATCTCAAGTTAAAGTGGTTTACGAATCGGCTTTAATACCGAAATCGTTTTTATCGTACGAACGTCGTATTTCAGTTTGCGCTTATATTCTGATTTTCATCATAAACTACAAACTGCCTTTGTATCTTTGTTTTAACTGCATCTCGCTTCATCTCAAGATAAAGTGGTTTACGAATCTGCTTTCATACCGAAATCAATTTTATCGAACGAACATAGTTTCGATTTGAATCGTCGAAAGTCTTTCGCTGCACTAATTCACCCCCCCCCCTCTTAGTGCTATTGATCCTAACAAAAATTGAGTCAGATATAATTTTTAAATTTTAATTTTATATAAGAGAAAACTTTTTAATTTTGTAATGTAAATAAATATTTTAAGTTTTAATTAAGTGAGTCTGATATATATAATGTAGAAACATATTTTAGATTTTTAATTTTTATTAAGTGAGTCTAGTGTATATTAGATAATAGTTAAATATAAAAAATATGTAATTTTTATTTAAATACAACCCAAGTCTCGCATGCGGGTCTGCATTCATTACGCATCAGACCGCATCGGATCGGGCCGTGCTTTGTGCGCCGGTTGCAGACCGAGCTTAAACCTTGGCCTGATGACCGAGGTTTGCCGACCATAAATGACAATACAAGGACGTGAGGTTCGACTACTGGAGCGAGCGGGAAATGTCTTTGGACGTCCTCGAGAACCCTAGCCCGCGGCGGTGGCGCTTCACCTGGGAAACCCTAGCCCACATCCCGACCCTCCGCCTCTATCTCTTCCACCCGGATGTCCACCCGTCCGCCCTGTGCGGAAACCTGTCCGCTTCCCTCCGCCTCGACCAGTCCCTGCTCCTTGTCTCCTGGATCGATGACAGAAACGGAGGGGGAACGGGAGATGTCGTCTCTCTCAAGGCTCCCGTCCCCAAGGTCTTGATCGACCCGAGCTGCCCCGTGGAATGCCGGGCTATGGACGATCATATCGAGATCAAGCTGGCGTTGGTCCTCCCGGTAGATCATCCGGTCATGATGGATTTGCGCGGGGTCCTCGATTCTTATATGGGCGAGATGGGCAGACAAGAAGGTGGGCTTTCGGATCCGTTGGTTCCGCTCCCTTTGGATTTAGGTTAGTCTGGTTATCTTTTAGGTTTGTGTTCTTGTCAGTTCGCTGAGAAAGACCTTTGATACATGTGGGAATGCTCATCAATAGTACTGTTCCTCAATGCAATCCAGATATAAAGAATCTTTCTGCCGGTGGTGTACATTTCTTTTGCAAATCCTGCTCGACAAAGCTGACAAAGCAACCTCTGAGGTGAATTGTGGCCTTTTTTCCAGATTGAACCACCAACCACCATAAATGTGTTCTTAGTTGCATGAATACCAATATATGTGATGTATTAATTGTTGCAATTGCTCATTATCATGTTTGATCAGAATCTATTTAAGAGTTGTAACACAGTAAAATCCTATTTTGCGCATTATATAACCTATGCAATTATTTTTTCAGCATATATGTTCAAATTTCTTATGGAGATTTAGCTCAAGTAGTTTTTGACAATATCATAGTTGAGAACAAAACTTGAAGTTGCTAAATTGGTCTTTAATCCTTTGCCATGAGTTTGTAGAAATATTGAGTTGTTGTTGTCCTATGCTTCTTTGTTGTAATTAAACAAAGCTTTTTCTAAATGGATGATGATGTTGCTGCTACAAAACGTGTTTCTATTGGTGGTGTGATATTAACAGTTGATCTTCTAGTCTACCAGGTAACTGAAATTATGCTTATAACTGTTGCAACCTCAGATATTATATAAGGAATACTGACAGCTCTATGGTGATCATTTACAATATGATCGTTACTGCTGATGCTACCTCACTTATCTTTGTAAGCTTGTTTGGAAGCACCAAGAATAGACTAGAGATTTGTTGCATGCTATATAATTGGTTTAATTGCTTGCACTATTGGTTTATTACAGGGTTTGTTGTGCGGTGGTATACCAGTATGCGGCATACCGCGTACGCGAACCACCCTGTATTGAACGGTCCAGTTAAATTAATAAAATATTCAAAGAAATGGTGGGGCCCATGTCCAAATCAGTGTAAAAATGAAAACAAAAAGAGATTAGGGCTCGTGAATGCAAGCCCTCTTCTCGCGTAAGGTATCGTTGTTGTCGTTTTGTCTTTGCTGCCATTGCCACTTCGCCATCACGTAAGGTGCCATCGCCTCATCATCGTCGCTTCGCCTCTGCTATCGTTGCTGCCTCATCGTCGTGTAAGATGCTGCGGCCTTACCATCGCCGCTTCCCCACTACTGCCACCGCTGCTGTTATCGCTTCGTCATCGCGTAAGATGGTGTTGCCTCGTTGTTGTTGTTCTTTTCCTCTTCTTTCTTTTTCTTTATTCTTGCTCCACTTCTTCCACTTCTTCCCTCTTCCTTCCTCCTTCCTCCTCTGTTCCTCTACCTCTCCTTCTACTTCTCTTTCGTTTCCTTCATCACCGAGCCACTAGTACACACCGGTATACTGTGTGTCGGTACACTGGTACAGATTGGTATGCATTATTCTTGTAGTCTGCTGACACGGGTCCGGTACTTGAAAAGGCAAATCCTGGTTTATTGTACTTAATATGAAATTTGATAAATAGAGGGACAATTGGATCTTTATCCCGGGGAATGCCCAATTAACAAGGACCATTACATCTGACCATACAGACTTGACAACTTAATTCCTGTGAAAAGATGATATACTTCATCTTCTCAATTATCCATTATGGTGCTTAGCTGAAGCTGGTCGGAGAACAATCTTTAGTTATGTCATGGTTAGATTTCAAGGATGTGCTTATGTTCATTTGCATCTAATTGACTAATCAGGACTGGGATGTTGATGCTTGTCCAAAACCTTTTGCCTTGTGTTAGATATCTATGTAGTCATGCAGCTGTAATTTTGAGAGATCTAGAAAGTTTTTTTGATTTTTTTCATAGAATTGCTTTATTCTCCTTTATTTGAGTAGGATACTCTATAAAAATAAGGGTTCATGTTACCCTTGCAATTGTGGTGTTAGCTCAGATAACGTAGAACTTCAGTTAAAAAAGAAAAAAATGAATTTTTGGAGAGAAAGGAGCTAATTGGAAGCAATGTTAGATGAATAGTTTAATGAATGGAAAGGGCGAGAAGTTAGTTTTTTTTATTGCTTTAAGTTTCCATTAACATGCATGAAGGTCTGTCTTTAGGTACAAGTTGACATTAACTCTATGTTACAATTATGAATTGAAAAGTTAGAGCCATGTTTCCTGCAGGAACTCTCTACAAATCTAGATTATTGATAAATTGATCATGAGAATGTAAAGCAGGATAACTTTGTAAGGTAGCTTTGATGTTACTTATGGAAGCTGTGCCGGTTGGAATTAGTTTACTGGAATTGCAATTTCCTTTATATTTACTGTGAACAATATTATATGTTTCTTTTTCTTCAAATTTGTTTAACTTTTCCTTGTACTTTAAATTTTTTTCCCACTAAAGTGGTTGCTGCTTGTAGCTTTTGAACCTCGTAATGTCATTCTTATCTTATAATAGTTAACATAATGGATCTTTTCACAGACACTTTGTGGAAATGCCATCAGTGAATTGGCGAGAGGTGGCAGACAATTGGTTTGGAACTTGCTGCTGTTCTTTTGGAGGTATCAGCGAGAAATTAGTACGTCAGTATGTTAACAGATACAGCTGTCATGAAGGTACATGTCTACTAGATGGTGCTTCAATAATCATATGCCAAGATGATCTAGAGGGCTATTCATTTCAGGAGCTCTTAGCTGGATTTTCTGACCACAAAAATAAGGACCAAGTAGCTTGTATTGTTATAAATGATTCAGTAAAAGGGGGTAGTGGTCAAGATTTTGTTGAAGACAATGCTGATGTCGGTGTGATGCCAGGTTCTTCTAGCAAGGAAGATGTGTGTATGGATCTTGCAACAGAACTCCCTATTAGAAAGAACACTGATCTTTTATCTAGCCCAATACTTAAATCATCAGATATCTGTAACAATGTGCGACGAAGAACTGAATGTGGCTTAAAGGGATGTTCTAATCCTATTGGATCAAGCTTAGATGAGATACAAAGTCCCCAACATGCAGATTTCTTGAATCTTAACTTAGATCATTGCTGTGGGAGTTCTGGGAAGCCTCTTCCAGAGCCTTCTGATGGGTTTCCTTCGGAAGCTCATTGCAATATTTGTGATCATAAATCAAACAATTTGGTAAATTATGCTTCTGGTGGATCTATGCTCGATGTGCCAATTATGCCTGCCAAAGTCCAAGAGTCTATGACGAGTTCAGGCCTTTCAGGAAGTCAGAAGTGGCTACATAATAGTTCTCTTGGAGGTGGTTTTATTGTTAGAACATCCAACCTTTCAAATGATATAGAATGGGTTGGATTCTCATGCAAAAAATGCTTATCTATGATTGGGTGCTATCCTTCTTTTAAAAGCACAAATATCCCTGTAGATGGAGGAATCCGGCTATTTAAGTGCTACATTTCTACATCTGTTCCTGCCGGTGGACCTTGTGACATATTCAGGTCAGCTTCCTTCTGGATGCATTCTGTATCTGAAATATCTTGAATCAACATGACTGTGGGAATGGACACATTTTATAGTTACACAATGATGTAACTGCACATTAATATTTTAAATGCTTATTCAATATTCTTTTGGATATCATGTCTGGTGGAGATCTGTTTCAGCTCACATTCTATAAGGGTTCTGGGACGTGATTGTAAAGACTTACTAGATGGGATATCCTAAAATTTGTACAACTGGGAACAAGTATTTCTTACGTATCAAAAAAGTTCCAGACACCTCCCGGACCTAACAGAATCTAACCCAATAATTTTCTTCGTAGAAAATTGTACATCAGTGGTTTTTATCTTCATTTCACATGCTCTGATACAATCATACAATGCACAAAGTGTTGGCAATTTGTAGCAATATGAGATACAAAGTAAACTGTAAATCTTATTTCTCATTATAACATAAGCACAAAGCACTTGCTGAAGCTTCTGAAGATAAATTGGTTTCAAGTATCTGAAATTGCTAATGTTTTTGTAAAATTGGCATATGCAACCGAAAGTTTTAATCCTTGTGAAATGTAGAGATAATTGTTTGATATATCTGAAGAGTTGAGGTTCTATTTCTATGCATCCATTCAGGCCATTACACAATTAACATTCCTCAGTATACATAAAAGAAGCTTTGGACAAGAATATGTCTAAGTACATGTTTTTATTATCCATCGTTGTATGCTATCCATTTTTCTTCATTTGTGTTATTTGTAGATTACAGATTTAAAATGCAACCTTAAAAATTTGAGTTACCTTTTTCTTTTAACTTACACAATCAGTTTTCCAAACCTTGTATCAAGAATTATTTTGTATTCCTAGATTGATTTATGCATGTCTGCATTCACCATTATTTGGGTATTTTGGACCCATAAACTTAGTGATTTAAAGACTCCTTTTGTGAGTTCTCTAGTTTCCAAATGGATGTCAAGGATGTTATTAGACTACGAGAATTTGGCACGATTCCAATTTTTATATTGCCAAAATACTGTGTTTGTATTTGATACCAAACAACTTGGATATTAAAAACTGTTAGACTTTTATGGTGCATATACTGGAACCTGTCATTGTCTGTGCGTTCATTAAGTGAACTTCTGTTACATTAAACTGTTTGCTATTTAGTAGCTTGTTCTGATTAATACTTGTGACTTGTATTGCTCTTAATTATTTTTCCCTTTAAGTGATGTGTGCTTATTTGCTGAACTATCCTTCTTGGGCAGGAATCACACATTGCAAAGAGTTTTTGCCAATGTGTTTCTTGAAGGCGCTGAAGAGGAACTTTCATACAGAATAATTGTCAGGGATTTGAAGTTGAAATCTCCAATGCTGCTGTTAGTTCTTTTAAATTCAAAAGCCTGGATCTCCAGTGGCTACTGCTCAGAAGATAGCATGGGATCACTTTCTGCAGCAGATCTGCAACCTGTTCTGAAAGTACTTTATTCGGATTGTAGTATTGCTTCCGAAGCAAATTCAAGGTATATTATTCCCTGTTCTATATTGATTGTATTGTCCTATCACCTTCATTTGTACTGATAGTAATATGTTATGAGCATGCGGATGAAATCCATAATATATTCTTATTGTTATTTGATTTACTCTATGTAGGTATTGTTTGTGTCTTTGTGATTTAAGATGAATGTTTGATTCCACTATTGAACCAGTTTCCTTTACTGCTAGGACTTCATTTATCTTGTTGTACTTTGTAGAGTTCTTGATGTCAACTAGTTGTCCGTTAATGGCAGCAGGAACTTTGAAACCAGTCCATTAGGCTGGTGACCTGTATAGTTCCCATCAATGTTATCTGGTAATCATGCCAAAACTAGCAAAAGGAAAGGGTTTTTTTGGTTGTGCACAATAGTACTCCTTCAGTGAAAATAACATGCATGTACTGGATTTTAGAGGAGTCTATCAGTGTCTTAAAAAAAAAAGAAGGTTTCAGGTTATTTTGGTCACTTAATAAGTATTCCTCTTGTATTCTTCAGGGTGAATGGGTGGTTCTGTGCTTTTATATATCTAGATATAATGAATTTGATCCTGTTGAGTTTGCTGGTGAAACATAGCCACTGTGAAGACTATTCTAAATCGAGTGAAGTTGTGTTAGAGCATGGGGTGAAAATAAATCAGGTACAGAATGGAATCTGGACACTTGGGGGTACAAATTTAAGTATATATGTTAAATGAATGCTATATATTTTAATTTTGTTGTTCTAAGCAAATACAAAGCAAGTTGGTTGTCTGACATATATCAACTGAATTATGTATGAGGCAGATATGGATGTAAATATTTCATGAACCAAAGATATGACTACGAGTAGTGAAGTCAGTATTTCAAACACAAATGATATTTTTGGCTAAAGCAAATGAAAAAAAATTATGAGAAGAAAATATGCCAGACTTGGAAAAAGCCAACGTAGTGGCATCTTTTTGTAGTTTAAACTTTAACGTAGGTGAGTACTCTAACTAATCACTTTGAAATATGAATTTCCATATATACAATATGGTTAGAACTGAACCCATATTATTTGTGTCTACAAGACCTCAAATTGAAAACTTTAAATATAGACATGAATTTGTGTTCAAAACTTCAAATCACCATAATAGGCTTTCTGTTCATAGGGGTAAAATCTTTCCCAGATGCCCACGTCGGCAGGAGCCTGGTGCATTGGGGTCACTGGGTTCACACTATGAATATGAGACCTAGTTATTTTTATCTAACTATATCAGCTTGAAATGAATTTGGATTCTAGTTGACACATTTCATCCCTAGACACATTTTATTCCGAGGGACGATGCAAGAAATTTGCCATTTTAAAAATTCATATTCTGTATTACCTAATAAAATTCAAATCACAAAAACAGTCTCTATGTTCATAGGGGTAAACTCTTTCCCAGACCCCCACATTGGCAGGAGTCGTGTGCACTGGGGTCACTGGGTTCAGCCTATGAATATGAGACCTAGTTATTTTTATCCAAGTATGTTGGCTTGAAATGAATATGGATTCTAGTTGACACATTTCATCCATAGACACATTTTATTCCTAAGGAGGATACAAGAATTTTGCCATTTTAAAAATTCATATTCTATATTACCTAATAAAATGTCTTTCCATGCTTGTAATCATGCACTTTCTTAACAAGTCTGTATATATTGCATCTGCAGAATTATTGAGGATTGGTCAACCAGAAATCATGCCGAAGAGGTGTATATGACAACATGCCTTGTGGAAGAATTAATAATGTGTCTGAAATCAGCTTTGTACAATCTGCCACCATCTTGTTCTTCTTTGCAAGGAATGTCATTATCATTCTTGGAAAGGTAACTAATGCTTGGTATTCTTGACCTCATGACTTAATGATTAAAATCCTTATTCTGTATGAGGTGATTCAGGTTACTTGAAAACTGACGGAGTCCCTCAGTTCTAACTAGTATATCATATAGGCTCAGCTATATATGTTTTGACTGCATCACAACTTAGCAGTCATCACTTTGAAATGGCATCAAACCTCAGCTCCTGAAGCATGATTCTGGGAAGTTCTTGCAGGAAGATTTATCTGCATTCAATTTTTGATCTTTTTGAGGATATAATGGATGATAATGCACACCTTACAAATACCAAAATAGGCCAATATTGTGAGCCAAGTACCTCAGGAGTAGTAGCACTAGCTATCGAAAATTCTGACCGTGGTAGGTTCTTACAGGTTGGAGAGAGGGATCAAACGAGGATATAATGAAATGGTTGAACCATTTCATTTGTACTTAAAGCCTGATTGATGCAAAGGGGCTTCATTGTTTTCCTCAAGCAGTTGTTGAAATGCGTGTAAAAGACACTGAGCTGGGATACAAGGGAGCTTCAGAATACTTTGGAATAATAGAATGGTGGGGGCAAAAGCTCTTACAGGTTGTAGAAAAAGATCAAACAAAGGTGACTGGCTACTGTTTCATTTGTCTAAAGCCTGATGAGTCATAAACCTCTTTGTTTTCCTGGGGCACTCTGTGAAATGACTGCCAAACACAATGAGCCAAAAAAAAAAAACATGAGAATAGTCTGGAAGATTGAATAGTGGTGCTGCTGATTAAGAGAAACCTGCATTTTCCAGTGGTGAGTGCAAGGAGGATATAAAAGTACAATTATACATGAGCAAATATTTTGCTTTTGTTTTGGAGGAAAGACTTTCAGCTTAGTGATTAGGAAGCAGAAGTTGGTATTCAGAGTGATTATGAAGAGGTGACCACTAAAAAGCTGGATGATTTAGCCAGTATTTAGGGAAAAAAGAGTTTGTCACACAGCTTAGATGAAAAATAACTCTTCTACCAACTACACCCTGGATCACGAGCTTTAGCACAGTGGTAAATAGATATCTGACCAACTACAGCCGTAATTGTTCGAAAATAGACTCACTCAGTGTTAGGCAGAGGGAAGATGCATATAATAGAGGTGATTGTTGAGAATCCATGGAAAAAATATGACCACAGATGAGGTCTACATTAAGATCAAGGTCATTAACACAGTTACATGATAAAATTACCCCTGGAGAAGGGTTAAAGGACTCTTGTTTGAAATGGAACTCACTTATAATTATTAGTAAATCAGATGAGGTGAAAGAATAAAGCTTCTAATAAATTAGGCGCAGAACCTTATGAAACCAGTACTTGGTAAGGGAAGCACTTAACGAGAGATATCATTAGGCACTAAACACAAGCACAAGCAATGAATTTCTGATTTTCTCTGTGCCTATTCACATTCTCCAATACTGAAGATCATTGCATTTTCAGACTCACATTTTTGCCTCGTCGAGCTCAGCGTGGTTTGAATTTGCCTTGTTATATTGACTTATGGAATGTGTAAAAGGGAAAGTTATGGCAACAATAAATAGAAATGGCATTCAAGCCTCAGGCCTTGCATGTCTTGGGTTCTCTTATACAGATCATTCTTTTGGTAAAAAAATAAAAATATGTGATAATGGAGTTACCCTTTAGTAGTTTCCTTGAATTATTTTTTTGTTTTGGTTTACACTTCATCTTTGCCTCCTATCTAATGATCGCAGAACAACTTGTGGGTAAATGATGTTTTCAATTTGGATAGATATGTCCATCTCGGTGAAGGTGAACATGTGGTTCAAAATTGTGTTCAATATGTTGGTTCAGGTAGAGGTAAGTAATGAATTGCTTCTGCTTGCCAGATGAGGTGCCGCTGGAAGTGTCGAGCGTCTTTGCTAGATTAGAAACTTGATTTAACCTCGTGCTTTTACTGTCTAGAGTACCAGGAGAAACTTCTTCAACTTTGCTAGATTTAATTTTTTCGGACTAGGAAAAGGCATAACAGTATATAAAGCTTATTCAACTTGACATGACATTGAAGTCTTCAATGACCTCAGCAGGCACTTTGTTAGCTGGTGGAACGATCTTTAGCCTATTATCAGCAAAATTATGTCTTTGCTTTTGTAAATATATCTAAGTGCCCTAACTAAAAAATATCTTTGTTAATATTTATCATTAATCATATGATAGAATCCATAGTGTTGCTAAGTTTTTGTTTTGTTTTTTATTCTGTTGGTATATTATTATTATTATTATTATTGTTGTTGTTGTTGTTGTTGTTGTTGTTGTTGTTGTTGTTGTTGTTGTTGTTGTTGTTGTTGTTGTTGTTGTTGTTATTATTATTATTATTATATTATTATTATTATTATTATTATTTTATTATTTTATTATTATTATTATTATTAGGTGTAGCCCTCCCCAGTTCGACGAAAAATAGCTTGAATTGCTTGTTTCCATTCACGGGCAGCCATTGCTCTCTACGTCCGTCG